GGAACATTTATTTAGGTGGAAAACATCACAAGCCTTTGGTAAAATCTTTATGATTGGCGTCTTTGCTTACATTTTCTAATATATAAAATTCTCGTGTCGCGGTGTTTGTAGTTAAACTCCTCCGAAACGGCTTGACCGATTCTCATGAAATTTTGTGTGCATATTGGGTATGTCTGAGAATAAGACAACATCTATTTTTCATCCCCCCTAAATGTTAAGGATAGTCCACCCCTAAATATTTTTTTTTAATTTTTAGATAGTTTTTTGATTTTAATTTGTTTATGATACAGCATCAAAAAATACATACAAACCCTAATTTTCGCCCCTCCACGATCAACCCCTATTTTTTATTATAAATGATATTCATAGCAAAACGACGTTTGCCAGGTCAGCTAGTAGTATATATATAAACCTACCTTTTCAATTAACCAGCTCCTGCTTTAAGTGTTTTATAACAATCAGAAAAATAATTCTCGATTATAAATTTGAAATCGCGTTAATTTGTAACAAACTAGTTTATGTAGATTTATATATAGATTAATTTGTGAAATATATTGGAAAATAAATAAAGGTTAGGGATAATGTAACAGTCTAATGGTTTTAAAATCGGTCTTAAAATCATAACATACAAAATACATACATAATACAAAAAGTTTTCTCTTTAGAATATTAATATAGATGTAGCCTTGATGTAATATTAATTAGTGATTATATAAATTTACAATTATTAATAAGCTTTGACATTCATAATGATTTGAATTATGTTTCTCTCACAAATAAGTCCCTAAATTTTCGTTTGTACATTTATGAATGAGACCTTTGCATAACACTTTTTCTTGACAAATCGATTAATCGAGGTTAAAAAGTTAAGGCATAATCACTTCAACTCAACTGTAAATTTTGATAGTAAAAATTTAAGTTTTAGTAATGGTTTGCTTTCCAGTTTTGAATTAATCATTGATATTTAAAGTAATAATATTTTTTAACGAGCTTGAAAATCGCGGGTTTCGTGTTTAATAATCATAGTTTACAAACCCATTGTGTTAGTTACAATAGGAATATTAAATTAGATTAAGTTTTCAAAAATTTAAAATTGTTTATCCGATCGCGTGCTTGTCAGTAAACTTGTCAACGATCATTATAATAGCAATTTTTTTTACAAAACTAGAGGTAAAATATTGTTTTTAAACGCAAAATGCGTTATTATATTAATAAAGATCGGAGTGTTTTAATTTTTTAACTGTCCGTTACTAAACAGTAGTTTATCGTATTAGCAATTTATATTATAATAATATTGTTTAAATGTATTTGTGTATGTTTTGTACTTATTTGAACTGTACTGTTTTTGTACTGGCTAGTAAGAACCTAACATAATTTAGGTTGACCTAACATGAAAGGTTTAATCTAAAAATAAAAACGATTATAAATTGCTTTTAATTACATTTAGAATTATAGTTTTATATTTAAAATACGCCTATACGGTATTTTGGTAATAGAAAACAGGCCACTTTTCTAAAAGAGGTCGCGCTGTGTTTATTACATTTAAGTTATTTTTAGACAAACTTTATACTAACATGTGAAACACTTGCTAAGTGCAACCATGATTTAAAAGTAAAATGTTTGTTAACTTGGAATACAAGACTTACCAAAACTGCTGCGAAATTTGTTAAAATCATCGTATTTGATTCACAACACTTTAACTGACAACAGTCCACACTCACATTTTTGAATTTAAAAATCGAATTTGCTTTTCGTCATCACAAAGTTTTCCCGCGTTCGCAATACACTTTGCGCACAACGTTCGCAGTCTGACGTCTACAGCCGACTGACGAGTGACGTGTCGTTGAGTTAAACTTTGTGGAGTGCTTGGGAAGGAGTAAAAGTGTGAAGATTCCGAAAAAACTACAGTAGACTTAGGTGATGTTTAGAAACAACGAGACAGTTGGCGCTAAGCCTGGTTTCTGAACTTTTAGGGTCATATTTAGAATCGAGACTCAGCGTGAAGTGACTCCCATATGTCAAATTTGTATAGTCATCCATGACATACGAGAGAAATTCATTTATTTATTTACTACTAATATCTGGAACTACTGAACTGATTTTGAAAATTTTATGTTTCCAATAGAAAGGCACGATATTTATGAGTGTAATAAGCTATATATTAACATGAAATATTAAAAGACTTTCTGGTTGTCGGATTTGCAAAGTCAGAGAAAAAACTTTTGAACAAAAACGTTCTTTACGAACGCTGCCTTAAAGACGAGCGCTAAGTCTGACTTTCGGACATCCAAAATGATTTGGATTTTGTAATACGGAAGTTAATTATATAATAAGTTAAAAAAAAATACGCACTTAATTTAGTTTCTGTATGTCACTCTTAGTTCTTTATAAGTCATTATTATTAGCCTCATTTATTCCTTAAACATTTAAAAAATATACACACACTGAAAATATATAAATTATTATTTTTTTCAAGTACCTCTTATAGAGTATAGGCCTCCTCCAATTGGCTGTCTCTCTCTGTCTTGGCCATTTTTCTTCCAACCTTCTCCACTAACTTCCTTAACCTCAACAGCCCACCGTGCAAGAGTCTTTCCGAGAGGCGACCTGTCTTTCTCTTTTCTGGTAGCCCTTTCCACTTTGTTACCCTCTTTGTCCATCTGCCATTATTCACGCGAGCGGTATGGCGGTATTAGTCAATATTTATAACAAATTGTATTGCACGCCTCGCAGTGCTCTACTCTCGACATGTCAAAAAACCCAGTCTTTCGAAACTTGAATGACTTTTTTCTCACTAATATAACACTTACAGGATAATATGAGTGCACTAAAATCGAGTTAAATAATCTATCAAGCACATATGGTATTTTTTATGAACAATTATTTTGTTTAACATAGTAAATAATAACATTAAAATCAATCATTCTTGGACGTCCGTCAGTCTGTGTTTATGGATCCATGTATGTGGCAGAGAAATTGGTCGAAAAATTTATCGTACCAGAACACTTTTTTTCTTATTATATACCCTGGGCTGATTCCTAGTTAATATTAGCGTTCTAAGTACCTACTGTCGTTTAATTATAATTTGTAAAAAACTAAAATACGACTGTGAGGAATTTTTCCTCACCTTAGAGTTATGGCGCCACTATATATTTTTTTATTATATTATTGTTTTTTTTCAATCATTCATTTTTATTTTTTTTTTTTTGTTATTTTGTTTTAAAAAACTTGAGTTTTTGTTTTAGAACTTTTTTTTAAATGAGAATGACCGCTATGAGGCGTGCACTTTTGGATTTTACAAACTTTTTTTCATCTATAGTTCATAAATTTTCCGAAAGAATTTCAGAAGTTGTTGTTAAAAGCCTATTTTAAAACTTCTTACGCAGTTGTTGATTGTAGTAGGCCCACTATAAATTTTATGTAAATCTTTCGTTATTAGAGATCTCGGTGCTTGGCAGAGAGATTCAATACATAGATTTATAGTAAATTGGGTCAATATTATCTTCTTTTAGACTTCGTCCCTTATTTATAAAAACTAAAGCACTTTAATTGCCTTTTTTACCATAAAACTCTTTCTGTGAAATTGTTTTAACTGTATGATGAAAAGAGCCAGTCGAGTACGTACTTCAGTTAAGAAGGCGCAATCGCCCCGATTTAATTTTTACGAATTATGGCGTAAATAAGTATTTATAAAAATAACACTTATCTAATTAAATGTATTGCAGTATTGGTTTTTTAAAAATTAACAAAGATATTAAATTTTAACGTATTTTCTTTCTGTTGTTGAGTTGGGTAGTAAAACAAATATTTGTTAGAACAACATGTACTTTATTTAAATAACTATCATAAAATATACTTAAGTAATCACAGTTTATAGTGTCCCATAGCGTATACTTCATTACAGTCTATCATTGCACTTTCTGTGAAAAGAAAAGTATCATTTTAATTGTATATACTACGAGTAATATTATACATTGAAAAGTTTTGTAGATTTCTAATAAATAAAACTTATCAATTACTGGAGCGATTTCAAAAAATCTTTTAAAAATTTGCAATGAACCTTTGGAAAGATTTGAGGTAGTTTTGAAAATTGGTAATTTAATAGATTTCGATAAGCTCCATTGCGACCTCTTTACCATCTTCGCGACTCGGCCATATTGGGAAATTGTTTTTAATAGCGGTTTTATTGATAAATCTAAAGAAATCTTCCCTTTTACCGGCTCATGTAACTATAAATTTGTTCTTTATTTTTAAAAATCAATAGTTAAGCCATCGGATACTAATTTTCAGACCTCCGAAGTACTTTATACGTTAAACTACAAAATCATTGTTTCAACTAATAGTTGAATTACATAGGAAACTAATTTTTTGAACTGTTATTTACGAGAAGTTATTATGATCAGTTGAAAAAAAATAATGGCCAGTTATTTTTTTATTGCTGGTTGGTAAATTTGTGCGACAGTAAAACATAGACAGTAATAAAAAACAATTGGCCAGTTATTTCGTCTTACACTGCCAGTATTAAAAATACGTAAGCAGACTAGTAAATAAATGACCGGTAAAAATGATGGAATGGGCAGTTCGATAGATAGTTCGGCAGTTTAAGGTTAGGTTAAGATGTATGTATTTATTATATAATACATTTTATAATTAATTACGACTCTTTTTTGTTTACTTTACTGCTAAATTTTAACTGCCGCATTGATATGCATTTTGTAATTTTCCACTTACCAAAACCAATTACAACTGCCGCGTTAAATTAGTGCCAATTACAAATAAATGCACATTATAATGTAGGATGATAATAGAAAAACTCTGAACTCTAGAAAGGTTGAGGAAATATAAAATAGAAATATGTTTTGCTTACGAATCCCAAGCAAAAATACTAATAATAATATTTTACATAGTCAAAGATTTAATAAATAAATGATTTGTTTTTTTGAACCAGTTTGAAACAAGTGAACCATCAAGGTCTTAAAAAAATAAGAAATGTTACTTACCATTGTAATTTCTGGAAACAATGTGCTGAGATTGAAGTTACTCCGCGAAGCTACAGGGAACGTTGATGAAGTCCTTTCGCCGTGGACATTAGACCCTACACTCTGAACATTGGAAGGCATGAGGTGGGTATTGAGAAAATCTGGTTGATACTGTGTGGGCATCTGATTGCCTATGAAGTTAGGAAATTGTAATTCCTCTGACATCATATTGGTGTGTCTCTTATTCATTGCTTTATTCTGCCACAACATATTTGTATTCTCCCCCCATTCTTCAGATTCTGTGGTAATTTTCGATCGTTTTGTGGGGTACTTCTTTGTTGTCTCTTTCTTGCAATCAAGTTTGTGTTTAGCGGCCTCTCTTCTTGTGCTTTTGTCTTGGTGGAAGTTTGTGTTATTTCTGAGTTTGATGTCGTCGTATTTATGATTTACGTAATTGCATTCGGCTGACTGGTTATAATCTACGAATTCACCAGTAAACGGACCACCTGTGTAACTACTGGGCATTAAGTTACTTCCATTTTGCATAAAATTCGAGTAAAAGGTATTAGGCATTGTATTTGCCGTCGAATTATACAATGTTGTGGTGGAATATTGTTGGCCGACGTAACTATTTTCCGGATAATCCAGCAGTGGTGGGTAATGCGATACTTGGGCTACGCTTGTATCGTGCGTAACATTAAAATCGCCAAATTTTTGAGATGGTATCATGAATTTTGTATTGTTCTCGTGCACTTTTTGACTGCACGTACCGCCACGTATTAGCGCTTCAGCGGAATAATTAATTTTTTGTTGTTTCGAATTCTTTTCCTGTTTATTTGGTTTCGACTTCGTATGCGAGAACTGGTTTAGAGCATCAAAGTTATTCGTTACTTTGGCATCACCGAATCCATAACAGTGCTGAAGATTGCTTTCGCGTGGATTGATAGACTTGCGGCTGGTATCGCTCACAATCTGGCTTAAATTGTGTTTTGTATTGGGTTTCTGTTCAATGTTTGTTGCATGTGACCGCGAAGTTGGAATATCGGAAGAGCGGTTCATCAACTGAGTGACAGAAAAGAAATTGGAACAGTTTTGATCGGCTTGATATATACCTCTGTTGATTAAATCATTTCTTTTCTTTTCGTGCGGCCCCAATGCTAAATCTCCGACTAACGTTGGCAAGTGAATTGGAGGTGGTTCAATACTGATTTCAGCTGTTCCTGCGGGTTTTGTTGGCGGCCACATCTGCAATTCCTCGTGGTTATTTTGCGATGGGAAATGATGCATATTTATGGGAAAATAATTTTCATTTTGACCCACTTTTCTTGATGCGTTGATATGGCCATAGTTTCCTTTATAGTTTTCTTTAATTTCTGTCTGAATTTGTTGACAATTGTTTTGTGAAGGTCTGGTTTCAGATGTCATCCAATTTATGTGCATTTTACTGGGTGACTTTTTGGTATACTTCTCAGATACATTATGTTGGTTGCCGGCCACCGTTGTGTGAGACTTATGGTTGTCCAAATTTATTAAATTTTGTTTGGAATCATACTGCTTGGGTGTGCCAGTGGCCTTTACATTAGTGTTGACTTGATTAGGTTCTGTGTACTGTTGGTTCTTTGAAAGCGTATTTTTCGTGGCTGATGCATTAGCAAATATGGAACTCACATCATCAGCCCATAAGTTCCCGGTCTGGGAATAAAAGCTAGTGATTGCTTCAGTAAAAGTGGAAGATTTACTAGTTAATAAGTCTTTTTTAGCTACATTGGATAGAGATGCATGAAATTCTGGATTGAAGGGATTATAAGAGCTAGCGTAAGTTGAGGGGGTTGAAGTAAAGATGTTATCTTTGTGGAGGGAATTTGATGTTGTCGTACAGTTGAAATCGAGACTTTTATGTGACCATCCCAGATCAATATCATAGGTAAGTCTAGATGAGTTAATCTTCATAAGATTTTCGTCAATGTTAGGAAAGTCAGTTTTATTTTTGGAGGAGTAGTTGTCTACCGCACAAGGATACAGACCGAGACTGTTATATTCATGACCAGAAGACAGGCTACTAGTACTGTAAACAGTGTTTTTTACTGATGCAAAAGGATCACTTTTATAGAACAAAGCATTACTGCTGACATAATTAGCGGGCTGGTTCGACGGGGCTTTACTTACATTGCAATCGAAATCTAAGCCAAACGATGTATCAGTCATGCTACAATTTGTGGTAACAATCGTCGGGAGGGGTAAATTAAGGAAAGGATTTTCACTGCCGACACTCGTATTTGCGGTTGTCATAGGCGGTTTAGTATCTGCAAGTTTATTTAGGATTTTGGGATTTTGAATTTTCTCAGAAATAGTCGTTTTAATGCTTTCATTTTGAGGTTTGCTTATGGGTTTCGGCTTTTGCTTTTCGAAGAAACTTTGAGGGGGCATTTCTGTTCTACACGTATTCTCCTTCAAGTTTGTACTCTGTGGTGTTTCCTCATTGGGACTGTCAGCTCGATTTCCGCTAACCAATGGAAACGACATAAGAAATGCAGCAGTAGGCGAAGCAGCCAAAAACTCCTCTGCTAACTCTAACCTGGCATTGCCTGCATCAACGTTTTCACATATCGGTTGCTGCAAAATATTTTGTAGTTTTGAATCTTTCTGAATTTGCTCTTTATTATCTTTGAACTCAGGGTTCTTGTTCACTGTTGCTGGTTCATTTGCTGCAGGTTTTGTGATAGGAACTGGATGATTTTCAACACTTGTATTCAGAGGTACGGAAGACTTATCCGTTGGGCTAATACTTTCTTGATTTTCAGACGATATTTTGGAAGGCAAATTTTCTTCAGATGTGTTTGTTTCTTTAGGAACTTCCATATTATTGACCGAGTTAGATTGAGTTGAGATTGGTTTTTCTGAAGAATCAGTATTCACAGTTTTCGTGCTCTCTGCCGATTGTTCGATGTGTCCTGGTGAACTATTATCATTGTTTGCTTTGTTCTTTTCTTCAGTATCTTTACTTGTTTCGGGAATCGAAGGTTCTTTGGTACTGACAGGTATCTGAGACACATTACTCTCATCTTTTTTCTTTGTTCCTTTTTTAACAGTACCCTTTGATTTACTATTTCGCTTTGCTTTTGCCGCAGATAAAGGACGCGAATATGCGGATATAGGTAACACATTAACCATTGTAGTTTTGGTCATATCATGTATATTTCTATTAACAATCGGCACTTTATTCAGTGACTGTAAATTGGTATCAAGTAAAACAAGTGTTGGTGTCGCAGTTGGAAATAAAATTGGCCTTTGAGGAAATATATATGGAGTTGCTGGCAGCATAACAATTGTATTTTCTGAAAACGATAAGTTAATTTGGCTGTAATATTAACTTAAATAAACAAAACAGCAGTTTATTCATACATTAAACTATATTAATTCCAATATACTGCTGTAATTGCTATCTTGGATACAGTTTGGAGGAGTATTGAGGAAACAGGGTGTCTATTTCATCTTATTACATGAATGAGTAAAAAACTAGCACACAAGAACAGAACTCAATAAAAAATCTGAAATAAAAAATTCTTTGATTCTGCTATAGTAGCTAGTCAGATAAATTTAACTGAACAGAACTGACTGCCACTATATATCATGCGATGTTATAACTAAAACGTAAACCAAAAACAGCTGATACCATACATTATTTAATCTTACCTTTTTTACTCGGCAAAGGCAACAGTTTAGGTAGTTGCCCCAACGTCTTTCTTGACTTTGGAGGATCCTTCCCTGATTTTTTTGGTTTATCATCCTTGTTGTCTATATTATTTTTGCATTTTTTCAACATTAAGAGCTTCAAGTATTTGCTATCTGTAGATAGATATCACAGAATTAGATAATAATTAAAGACATACATTTTTATTAACTTTGTTTTATAAATTATATTTTTTGTTTCAAGTTTCTACTAGACTATAGGAATTAAGAATCAAGCTTAAGCTTACAGAAGTTGATTCAATTTATTTTTGAACCAGCAATTGGTTAAAATTAAATGAAGGATTTGGAAAAATGGTTTATACATACTTTGTTTACCTCTTCCTGTTCCCAGAGTAACCTGAACGCACTCATCTTTAGTATCACATTTTAGTTTTTCAAATCCTTGCAACTTCACTTCCAATGCCAAAACTTCAGCTTCTGAAATATAAATGATGTACTTCATTTCCTAGTCTAGTTTATATAATAAAATATAAATGTTGATATAATTTTTCTGTGATTTAACACAATTAACATGTACCAAACCATAGACTTACTCAGCTTTGACTTTTCTTGTGTAAAATTTGTTAAACAAATTATAGCTTTTTGTATAATTTCAATTTTAGGAAATTGAGTGCTGCCTGATTTATCATTTGCAGTATCTCCATTTTCTTTATTAATAGTCAGTACCAATTCACCTAATTTTGCAATTGCTTCATTGAATTTAAGACGCCTTTGACGTTCCCATTCTCTACATCGGCTGAAAAGAATAATATATTTTTATAATGTCAGTAGTTATCAGTCATAAACATTTCTCATTAAGGTTAAGTAAAGTCGATCAAATGTGCACAATTTCATTATATTTATATACTTTTTATTAAATTATACCAATACTAGTTAACTGAAAATGTTGTAGTAAATTCAGTAGTAAGTACAAATTTTTTGTTTCAACTTATAATCTTAGTTATAAGCTAAAATTGATCTTTTAAAATTGCATTAGAATTTAGGTTGAACTTCTAAAATTATTTTACTATTCAACGAAATTTGACTAATAGAGGTAAATCACTAAAACTCCTAAAAAACAAAAAAATGATTATAAGTAATTAGTATTAGTAGTAAATGTAATTAATCTAATAAAAGATGCATTAATCACCTTGGGGTTCGATTTTTGTTACCATTACTTGGCTCGGTTTGTGACTCTTGAGCTAACATATTGGTCCATAAATAATTAAGTATAAACAATAAGTTTACATGGTATAAAAATCACAACAAATTAGGTATTTAATATTTACCACTCAGTTTTAAAGCAAATGGAAATGACAGTAATATATGTGACAATCAACCCATGATTTGTCAAATTTTAAATGAGTGATGACGTCTGACAGCTTGATGATTCAACTCAACATGACTAATGCAACAAAACATGAATTCGATTATCCATACCTAATTTTTAATCTATCTCGCTCTCGTTCTCAATTTACAACAAATATTTTAATTTCACCATTTAATTAATCGTTACAGTTCTCAGTAATTGATTGTCCTTGATTGTAGTTTGTAGTGTGTACGTATTTATTTGTGAATCATTGTGACATTTATAATTGGGAAATTCCGTCATATTTTAAAGATTATTGTCGACATCGTATGTACGCGGTTGTAAATATATTTCAGTGGATAAGACCTTCTTTATTTTAACAATCTCATTGTAGCTGCTGCCTCATCATCATGTCTCTGTATCCGTCATTGGAAGATATGAAGGTGGATAATATGATACGCGCTCAGTTGAGTCAACAGCATAACGGACCACCATCTTTCCCTCCTTCTTATCAACAAAACGCGTCGCCTAGTGCCCCTCGCCATGTTTACCCCGCCCTTGGTGATTATATGGGGCTTGAATTATCCCAAGATGTAATCGCTCGCAATATGCCTGAATATCAAGTTCAAGTGGTAAGTTCAAGCCTTCTCAAGGTGAAATATTGCAATTCATACAACAATAAACATTTCCTTATTTTGTGTAACTATTGCTTCAGCCCCAACCTGGCGGACTAGCATCCTCATGTAATATGATAGCGCCACTTTCATCACAGTCTTCAACTCTGTCTAAAGCAATTGTATCTGGCGCTATAAGGCAAGTGATGTTATGTAAAGACCGAGATGGGAAATGTGGACTAAGGCTTCATTCTGTAAATAATGGAGTATTTGTTTGCTACATTGCGGCTGGAAGTCCAGCTGCTTTAGCTGGTTTAAGATTTGGAGATCAGATACTTGAAATCAACAATGTATCTCTTGCTGGCATGTCAATGGAGCAATGTCATGCTATTTTAAAGAAGTCACCGACTAATGGAATCAATATGGCTGTTCGTGACAGGTACTCATTTCTGTGTCTAAAAATAATTTTAATTAAAATAGTGACTAATAACTATGCCCTTCTGTCATAATGAAATTTATTGCTTTGTTTTTCAGACCTTTTGAACGAACAATCACACTACACAAAGATTCCCTTGGACATGTTGGCTTTCAGTTTAAAAATGGAAACATAGTTGGATTGGTCAAAGATTCATCTGCAGCTCGTAATGGTTTACTGACAGACCATCAGATTCTGGAAATAAACACTATAAATGTTGTGGGCATGAAAGATAAAGAGATCTCTAAAGTTATTGACGATGGCCAGACTGTTGTGAATGTAACAGTAATTCCACAATATATCTACAAACACATGATAAACAAGTAAGATATTGGCATGAGTCATAGGTTTTTATGTTTTAGATTATGGGTTTTTCCTTTTAAAATTCTTATTTCCTCAAAGCTTCTAAAAGCATATATATATACTAGTGGACCCCACAGACGTTGTCCTGCATGATATTTAAAGCGATTAGGATATTAAGCAAAGTATGAAAGTACCGACTGCAGTGCCATCTGCCGGGCTGATTTGTGAATCTAAACCATTCCCAGATCCCCTTGAACACACACAAAAAATTTCATCAAAATCGCTCCAGTCGTTTGAGAGGAGTTCAGTCACATACACACGCACAGAAGAAATATATATATTAAGATATGTTTGTTTAGTATGCCTTTTGCCCATTTTCCTTATTTCCAATGTTTAAGCTATTAAATTTCGTTAATTAATCTGATATCAGTACTTACATGCGGAAAACAAATTTTGCATATTTTTCCCTAATTTAATTCCATTTATTTGGTACCAACTATTTGATAAGAGATTCATGTTGTAAATTAACGTTAATTAGATTTATATTATTTCATGTAAATTGAGGAAAACTGATAATGGTAAATAAAAAGAAACAAATGCCTTATAACTTTATTAACAATTAAAATTTAGTAAACCGTTGGCTTCGAATAGACTCCACTTAAAATAATTGTATCAGTAGTCTTTTCAATGACAAAATACAAAAAGCTCCTAGAAGCGTTGAACATCACCGTCCTATTAGCCGTCTGTGCCGTGTCTGTACGTAAACCAACGTCATTTACCTTCATAGACACATGTTGTAGGATAGCCAGATCAAACAAACTATTCCGAGGAACACCGTAGAACTCTGAAAAACAAATCAAACACACCCATTTTGTTAAGGGGTACGTTTAGGGCGTAATTTGTGTTTATTTCGAATATTGATAGTTTTACGTTACTGTAGGGGGCTGTATATTTAATATATTTAGTATTTGTCCATACGTGAATGTGGTCATCTTCTGAAAGAGATCGTCTACAAAATTGTTCTGATGTAGTTTTTTGATAAAATCTAAAGAAAAAAAGTTATTAAGCAAAATAGGAAATTTTTTACTTAAAACTTAGAATTTGGGATTTATGATAAATAATCTAAAATAGACATAATTTTAGGCACAGCGATTGGCTACAAAATGTGTCTTTTCAAATTTTATGTACGATGGATAGTTTAGGAGATATAGCCAAAAACGTGTTTTCACCCGTTTTTCCAACATGGCGGCCAAGGGAACAAAGGTGTCAACCCCACAAACTTGGGGTTAAGCTTATATTGACCCCCCTACATGTCCCATAAATAAAATTGCGTCCTCTATCAAATGTTCAGTTTGGCCCTCAAATTGTAACATTTCAATGGACTAAGGGCAGACAGGCGTTGACAATTAAGCTGTTCTAATTTCAAATTTTCTATTTCAGGATGTCAAACTCACTGTTCAAAGAATTGGACCGCACACCTGCTGTTTAAGAAACTCAAAGCATTATTGCTCATTTTGCCACGAATTTATCTTTAAGCACATTTTTGTACACCTTTTTTTATCTTGAGTATTCCATACCTTACTTTATTAGTAGATAAATAGTCAGTAAGGGCTGTGATCGAAATTTGCAAAAGTGTCATATTCTGCCATGTTTAGGACAAAGATTCGGCCATATTGAAGAGATTTAAGTAAAATTCCCTTATAATATAGTATCGATGCCGCCATTAAAAGTTCAGAAAATATATTTGTATGTGTAATAGTTCAATAAGCTGTATTTACAAATAATAGACTTGTTTACATTTTATAAAATTTATTTAGATTTCTTATAACAATAGACATGCATTCCTATTTTCTTAATTGCTTATAGTAAATGTCAGATTATGAAGAGATTTTATTATGAACGACAATTTATTAGCTCTAGGTCTAGTGTAAGGCACATTTAAGTATAGGCCAAATATATGTTAGAGTTAAGTTTTATACATGTATCCAAATAAACACGTTTTTATAACTTAAATGTTGTCTTTATGTCCTTTTTAACTTAAGGTGTCTATGTTCTATACATTCACCATAGGTAATCTAAGCACATGAACAAAATTTTATAATGTACGTTTTACCATACAATTTTCGTTTACTAAATCTCGAGATTGTGTGTTTTTATTTACATATTATTTCCAACTTGGCAACAGTTGAGGTTTTACAAAAGTCAGTTCAGTAGTTTTTTTTTATCTGGATGGCATTTTCCTGTTTATATACAGTATTGGTTTTTTTTCATTAGTTACAGTTGATATTTGCAGATAGTTTATTTTTTAATTACTTTTATAACCATTTTATTGTTTTTTATTCTATATTTAAATCAAAAGGATTTTCAAATGTCCAATTAGGTTTTAGTACTATTTTCGGACAAGACCATGACTTTGGTATGAAAAAGTTGTCATTTTCGGAAGGCGGGCAGTTCTTCCGAGCAAAGTATTCCATTGGGTAGAGGCTCCATAACATTCCTGCAAAAATGAATTTTTACTGTAAAACTATATAGTAAGATTCCTAACATACAAAGGTGTTTTATTCTTAAATATTTTAAGCATTTTTTTATTATACTTAATCCCTTAAAAGTAAAAAATATAATTTTTTAAACAAATTTTTTAATAGACGTAATAAAGTTAGCTACCATAAATTTATTAAGAAAATCTTTTTTTATCGGATCACTGGGATTTATTCTCATAAAATATGTTTGACATTGATCTAGTGGTTTATTAAGCTAAAGAATTCAGTCAAAACTCAGCGCTAAGTATGGCTCCAGAATGTCAAATTCAATATGTTTTTCTCTCTAAACCACATAATTACCTGTGCCTATGAAAAATGAAAGCCACATAAACATGTTAAATATGCTGGGAAATCGTTTTCCCGCCGTAGCTGTGAGTGGCAGGAGCATCACACCCATAACGCCAAACTGTATCAGCAATACCGGATAGAAGAACCCAAAACCAAGTGCCAAGATAACTTCGTGAGCTACCGATGAAACCTGAAAGTTATTTATTTTATTTACTTATCAACACTTCGTTGCATTAACATAATAATAATTGAACATAAGCAACTGGTGGCCTTTCGAGCGTCTGACTGTGAAAAAAAAAGTATTAAATTAGATAAGGTAAGCAAGAAGTGCAAAAATACATAATAATTATTGTTATTATGACAAAACTAAACAGAAACAAAAAAATCTGTTGTCTGTAAAGTCGGTTTACTGACGATAATTGAACGTGACAACGTCATAAGAAAGGCTGCCGAACGCGGAGGCCGATTCTGCCTCTTTGTCGCTCGTTCCGCGCTCTCGTTTGCACTTCAAGCCTTAAATGGAACGCCTCAGAGCGAGGTAACGCCGCATGAGTCATGTTTTTTCGTGCGTGCAGCCGGCTCCATCGAATTATAAGACGTTGTCACGTCAAAAAAACTAAACTAAAAAAGGATATATGAAATATAAAAAGTGCACATGAATCACGATAATTTTAGATCAGTCTCATGTCAGTAGTTAGTACGAAAGTTAGGGATACGATGTGGATATGTAATGTTTGTACAGTAGAAATATAAAGGAAGATAGAGAAGAAGCTAAGCGAAGTTATTTGCTGCTTTAAAATACAACCTATAAATAGGAATTGTATTGGATGTTCCCCTTAAGAGCAGGCCGGTGTTAAATATTATTATTGGCCTTTTAAGATACAAGTGGTACTTTAATATATTTTATTACTAGGCGCGTATAATATTGTAAAATCTCCGAAGTCTGTCAGCTGGTTCACACTGATGGTGCGTATCGAAAAGACTACCGTTGTGGAACGACAGACATTGAGGTCACACGGATGATATTTCGTTTTCTGTCTTATACCAAACCGCTTTCCCGTCAAACCGGGTACGGGAAATGAAAAGAAAAAACAAAAGACGAAGCACGTTGTTTCGTTTGGTTATGATTGGTCCACAGTATCATCCAATCATAGACACGATACTTTTTTTCCATTTGAACACAATAACAAAACAGGGTTATTTCGTCTTGTTTTACCGATCCATGCCGAGGGATGATAACATAACTAGCTATTAACTAGGGCGAATATTCATCATACATTTAGCTAGATAACAACGTATTTCAGTTATAAATACTTGTTCGATACTAAGTATAGGCTAAGCCTTGAACTAACACAAGTTGAGAGTTTAACGATGCAAGTTGTTGCAGAAAATTAAAACAAGCGCGAGTTAAATATTCCATTACGTGCTGACCTTAATTCGTAGGTCGTGCGTTTATTTGCGTAATTATCTATCGAGAATATAACTTATTAATACATATATTTACTAATAAGAACGGGTATGAAGCACCCTATATCGGGGTATCTGTCTGAGATTGTATAGTTCTTTATCAACATATTGGTTTAAAAAAGACAACTAAACAAATCTGTGTCTAGGTTATCAAAAACTAAAGCTTTTCATAAAAAAAATATAGGGCTATAATTAGCGTTTGACTAGATTGAATAACTGTTGATTTTCACAAATATCCCTTGTTTTAATCATTGTTACAATGTTTTGGAAGAGAGATGTGCTACAATTAAGCCGCTTCCTTGGTCGTAGAATTGTTGACAATACAAAATAGCTAAAGAATACTTTAATATCTCATGAACTGTATTTAAAAGAAAGCACGTACTGTCGATATATTACTCACAAAGAATACGGTTACATAGGCAAGGGGACGCCCGGCGAGTGGGGTAATTGGGCGGAAAATGTAGTCACGAAGCCAAGATGAAACAACACGGTTCCACGCCCGATAGTAATTAGAGTACCTAGATTTGGTCCACCAATCCTGAAATAAAAAATCTTTTTATTGCATGTAAACATTTTTACTATTTTACCTATTTGGGCTGATTTGTGAATCTAAACTATCCAGGGCGCCACCCATCACAAAAAAATTCTGTCCAGCCATTTAAGAGGAATTCAGTGACATACACACTTACAGTAGAAATATATATATTAGGTAAAAATTACGTAATTACACTTTAGTAGGTACTTAATCCTAATAAATATTAGTTCTGGGATTTGCGTTTGAAAGCGTTACACAACATTAAAGACATAAATTGTCGAAGTGTTCCCGGACTTACTCGCTTAATTATTACAATTTTTTTGAAATGTAAATTTTGTCTATAACGTATAAAAATGTATTTGAACTCCAAAAAATACTGCGCACAGATGTTGCGTAACTTCATTATAAAGCTGTAGGTACCTCGTAAAAAAGACGGTCTCCAAATTTCATAATCTCAGCGAAGGCATTGAGCCAGGCGTGTAGAAGACAATAGAAGCCACATAAAAATGATAATAAACCGGGCAAAACACAGGCAAACATTCCGCGCACTACTGTACCAGCTTCAACCTATAACAATATATTATAAGTTAATAAATTAAGTACATCTATGTATGTGTGTAGTATATTCACACATTTACACACTATAATACATTAAATTAATATAAACATTTGTATACTATGTAACGTATGTTTTGTCAAATAAAATATATTGTAGTTTTATATCCTTGATATTCGCAGTTAAAGGAGTCGGAAATTGAAAACAAAATCTGTACCTAAAAATAACTTATGTTAAATGAACGTCAAAACTTTAAACTTATGATTTACACTGAACTTTGAATTGCAGAACGTACATTATATATATAGAAAAAAGTTAATGATAACCTGCTTTAAGCTTTCTGCAAGATAATTTAATCGTGAAAGTAGTATTTTTATTACACAACAAGATGTCTTCACACTATTTGCATTCATGAGCTTAATTAAAATAAAGTCTTATTGAATGCAAAAGAGACAATTAATATAATGGGCAAGGGCAGGTACTTACCTGCGGCTTTTTACCATAGTCGGACCAATAAGGCAAAATAAATCGCTCCCAAAGAAAACAATTATAAAAGACGACAGCAGCGACCTCTGAGAAGTGAAACAAAACCATTCCCCACCTTATCTTCTTTGTTCTGAAACAAGATTATTTATTCATGAAAAATACTTGCTAGAATTCTGGCTCTTAGATGGTAATGAATCCGTCTTTCCTCCTGTCGTATTGTTTAAATTACGTTTCTACTTTAATATTAAAATCCTTTGAGAAATATTTTGAAGTAATATTATAACATTTAGGACTATTTTAAGAGTCTTTATTTATTAAACAGAAGTAAACAATTATAAACACGGACATACTCGTAAATCTAAAAGTTGAGTGCAACAGGCCTTGGTACTAATAAGCGATTTCTTCAATCCAACCGAACTTACGACTACGTGTTTATAGAGAGTAACGCAGATAATTAAAAAAATATTCATAGAATGAACTTTATATTATATAACTATTAGTAAGTTTCACGTTATATTAACATACAGAATTTAGTCTAAACATAAAGAATATATCTGAGACTATATACAAATAATGATTACTTAAAAAGTTAAATTGCAATTGCGTTTAATACATGTCAGTTATATATTACCGCAAAACACGATTTATTTCTGTACCTTGCTTTTTGGTCACATTTTCACCTTTGCGCAGGTTATGTGACCTAAATTAAACATTGAACAATACTACATGCTTCTCTATAGGAAATACGATATATTTCGAAACGAATTAAATACGAATCGATTAGAATTGAAAGAAAAGCTATGAATTTAGGTATTATAAAGGTCTCCGTTGCTTTTGTTACTTGAGGTCCCATAACCTCGTAAATAGATGTCTAGACATTTCTGAATGCTTGTGTGTTATTAATTTGTGATTTTAGTAATATTTTTAGCCTAGGTGATATAAGACTTTTGCTTTTACTGTCAATATTGTGTAATTATTTCATTCTGGCAATCGATCGAAATCGAGATATGGAAGTGGCGGACCAAGTTTCTCACGTCTAGTTTACACATAAATATCAAAATAAATAGGTATCTCGCTATTACGTGACCTTATAACAACTTTTAAACCGTATAAAATATAGGTAGGTTACATAACAGTTTTCAATAAACATAAATTGAATAGGATTGTTATTCATTAAATTGTGAGGTTTTTGTTATTGCATTGCTTTACTTAATAAAATATAAATCCAATACTTACCGAGGGTATGAATCTCTATAAATAAGTGTCGGTGCAAACAGGAAGTACAAGTAATGTTGGAATGGTGGCAATGGCCTCTGATCGTTGTGGCATCGGGGTATACAATCGACTGCTACAGCGCAGATTTTCATTGCATAACGGAACTGTAAGTAGAAGTTGGAGCAGTATTCGGCGAATTAACGGAAACTGTTCAAGGAAAACTTTGTAAAGACATACTGGTTGTATGTTTCCAGAAATCGTAAGAAAAAAAATGGATATATAAAACACATGAAGATCACTGAAACAGCAAGTGTCGGAATCCGAGACTCATAAAATGTTGTAACATTATTGTATCGGATAATGCATGTATCGGAATTAGAAACTATAACGCGACGCTCATCTTGCGGCTGTGCACCAATGGACTTTCTGTCTGTCTATGCGACATGCTTTAGACCCAAAAAGTCAACGGCGTGGGTCACCTTCTTGCCTATTAGATTGACATCATGAAACAGATACAGAAATCTGAGTCCCAGACCTATAAAGGTTGAAGTGCCTCTGGTTTATATGTATTGGAATTGTAATTATACAATTACCTTTTCATTTAAATGTAATTGTTTTAGCTGTGCTTATTTAAATTGTTTTTAGCACGTATACGAATAGGTTTGTAAACTATAAATACCAGAACCACTCTACGAAGTATCACACTATATTACAGTGTGTGTGTATTATTTATCCTTATAGAATATTGAACTAAAGATAATCATCGTTTTTGCACTACCGGTGCGTTGGAGTGATCTCACGGGTGATTTCAAAAACTATATAATTAACATTGAATCGCAAAATATGTTGATAATACAGTATTTTTTTTTAAATGTATTCCTTGAACTCTGAAAGGGTAATAAACAAATTCTCTAACATAATAAAACTAGTTTAGAAAAGGAAAAGTCAATGGTTAATGCTTCAAGGGCAATATATGGACGAACTTAATCACCAACGGAGCAATGGTAATTACGAATGCTCTCAGTTAACAGGAACGCATTGCCCAATAAATATGAATCAAGTTAATACTTAGGGGAATTACTCATTGCGACTTGTGCACGTAAATAAAAACACGTAGAAAATAACAATACCATTGGATCGTTGAAGGTATTTTAATTTTGTACACAGTATGTAACTAGATTTACTGTCATTTCAGTACGTATACATTTTTAGAAATATAATTTAGTAATATAACTGTAAATGAGGTTTTTTAATTAGAAGAAAAATTTGCTGCAAAAATTAGGAGGATCAACTGATGTTAAGTGATACCGCCCATGGACACTCAAATTAGCGGAAGGCTCGCGAGTGCGTTGCTGGCCTTTTAAGAATTGGTACGCTCTTTTCTTGGAAACTCTAAGTTGAATTGGTTCGAAAATACTTCAATGGGTAGCTGGTTCCACATAGTGGTAGTGCACGGAAAAACTGCCTAAAAAACGAAAGTAAGGTAAAAAGGTAACATTCGACCACGGCTATCCTGCATAGGTAACTCTAAACACATTTAAAATACGTAATAACTTTTTTTTAATCATAAATCCGATATAAATATCGATTAAATTTATACGATTTAAGTATGATAACAATATATCATTGAGAGCAGTGTCGGCCTAGTGGATTCAGCGAGCAACTGTCATCCCCACGGTCGTAGGTTCGAACCCCGCTGTGCATCAATGGTCTTTCTGTTATGTGTGTATTTAACACTCGCTCGCTAAACGAAAACATCTCAAGGAAACCAGCATGCCTTAGAGTTTAGACCGAAATAGTCGACGGCGTGTGTCAGGCACGCTGATCACCTTCTTGCTTATTATAAAAATTATGAAATAGGGAGGATATCTAAGGCAAAACCTAGACCTTAAAGGTTGTAGCGCCACTATGTTTTAAATAATTTAAATGAATCAAGGATTACTGAATTGCATTATCACATATGTAAATCTTAATTAATACGAACAAGTCGAGGTTGCATCAATATTAAATACAATTAATAGATTGTATCTCAAGGTGGTTTAGTGTTCCTATCAGATGGTGTAACTTCGATATATCAATTAAGATAAGAAGAAAATAGGGCGATGGCGTCATATTACGGAGTGATGTAGGACTTGGTAATGGTGTTTGTCAGCTGCACCCGGCGTTGGAACTGTTATTTACTGGCGTTCACCGCGGTCTGACGAGGGTATCTGATTTATGTTACATTTCACTTTCTACACTGTTTTACTGAATTATGTCTAAATTTTTTTGCTATACAAGCCATGGAATACAACACATATCGTCACTGTAGAATGATAACCTTGTGTGTCAAAAAACATTTTTTTTTAAATTCTTAGACTCTGATGTCATTTAACTGGCATAATCATGAAGTAAGGACTTATTTATGTTATTAATAAATAAGTCATTTTAACCATTTAAAACTATGGACAAAAACACATAATAATATTAAACGAACATTGACGAAATGAAACATTTTTATCGTTTCCTGTAATGTTTGGTTCTCGTTATCATTCTACTACTATCGATGGTCAGAGATCGAAGGGAAGATCTTAAGTGGTTCATTTTTAGAATTAAAAAATCCTTCTTTATTAGGCTTTAAATATAAATCTATAATTATATTTCGGTAATCTAGCAAACTACACTCGGCGTCAAAAAAATCGCACCTTTCCTAAAATTCGTGTCAAGCGATTATAACTCCGAAGATCCTTCCTGTACCCTATCATTATTAGTATCATTTGAAAGCTAATGAAATTCCTTATTTGAAAACGGTAGGAAATTGGCCACCACCCCCATAAAAAAAGAAAATTCTGGGAAAATGTGAAACAATGTGTATTCTGATCAAAATTACAAATAAAGTGAACAATACAAAAATTAAAAATAAACAATGACAATCCTTAAAAATTAGTCTTAAAACCTAGTGTTGCCTCCTCTATCCCTCCGACCAGCTTCCAAGCGGTCAGTCATGGACCTGATGAGCGTCACGACGTGTTCCTGGGGAATGTTGTCCCACTCCTCGATGACGGCATCTCGAAGCTCATTGAGAGTGGCAGGAGCTGGATTACGGGCCCAAACTCGCCGTTTCAGCTCGTCCCAGAGGTGCTCGATAGGATTGAGGTCGGGGCTTCTTGCTGGCCAGTCCATAACCTTGATGCCAGCTCGACGTAGGTAGTCCTCGACAATCAAGGCTGTGTGGCACCGGGTGTAGTCGTGCATGAACTTGAAGTTGGCGCCGACAAACCTGCACATGGGACCACATGCTCCTCCAAAACCTCGGTGATATACCGGTGGGCAGTCAAAGACCCCTGGCCGCGACCATCTCCAGCTCTGGAGACGCACACGAGGTCTGTCTTGCCGTCGATAGAAATACCGCCCTAGAACATGCAGGATCCTCCTCCATACCCGACGGTTTCCACGGTGCAGGCTGGTGTGAAACGCTCCCCTGGCCGCCTGTAGACTCTCTTACGCATGATGTTAGTGTACAGGTACACTCGGGTTTCGTCGGAGAACAGGACATTCCTCCACTGGTCGAATGTCCACGGCACGTGCGTTTCGTAAAATCGCTTCCTTTTCGTCCGGTGGATGGTAGTCAATAGGGGGCCTGTAGCAGCTCTCCGGGGCAGCAAATTCTTCTCTCACAGCCTTCTTCAGATAGTGGAGACGCTGTCAGCTGTCCTTCGAGTAGCTCAAAGCCGCTGATGCAGCTCCACAGCGTTGAAGAAGCGGTTCCGCAAAGACGTCGACACAATGGAGCGATCACCTCTGACGGTAGTGCAGCGACGTCTCCCGGATCCATGTCTCCTGATGTAACCTCCAGTCTCTTGGAACCGTTGGTATACCCGTTGCACTCGAAATCGGCTGATTTTCAGTTGCCGAGCAACTTCAACCTGCCGTAGTTCGATTTGCAGTAGGGCCACCACTTGAGCTGCCATGTTATCCATTTTCACTGGGTTTTTTCTTGTTGAAGCTCTTCAGGAGTGACCTCTGTGACGTCTGAATAGCGAATAACCCATCATTGACTTTTACCCCCTCTTTATATACGCGTCCAGGGTGGTAAAATTAGTGAGCCTCCAAACGCGTACATCGCCACTTTTCAATCAAAGTGCTGATGATTTGTGGTTTTTGATTTTTCGTAAACAAATGATTATTTTTTTGAAAGCTTATTAATTGAGCTTTTAAATGATACTAATAATGATAGGGTACAGGAAGGATCTTAGAAGTTATAATCGCTTGACACGAATTTTAAGAAAGGTGCGATTTTTTTGACGCCAAGTGTATGTAAATCACAATATATCAATGTAGTTAGACACAAATTGTCCTATAAAAAGCAACTGCGAGCTATGAAAGGGGTTTGTTTATAGATTTGATGTGGCTTCTGTTAAAAGCCACAGTAGCCTGTGACTTGCACAAGCAAAATCTTTGAATGTAAAATCTTGATATTAAATTAACCACAACCGTCAAAGATTACAAAACGTCTACACAAATAAGGTACTACTAGCTACGGCGTAGCAAGTATTGCTACGAGAATAAATTAGTTATGTTTCTTAAGTTTGTCAAATTCAAATAACAGTTGCTAAAAAGTACTCGTCGAATTATGTTTATAATGTAAAACGAACTAAAGTTCCATATGTAAAAAAAAGACTATTTGCTTCAAAAGATCACTTCGTTATTAATATTTTTATAGCTGTCTTTTTACACGTGCTTTTAACAAAACAATTACCTAAGTTTCTAGCTGATATAGGAAGGGATTGTTGTTTGGAACTTTGACATGAACTTAGAGAAAGTTCTGTAGTGTTTACGAGGAATTCGGGAACAATTTAATAAGCTATTACAGCTAGTAACTTCACTAACGTTGAAATTTAAATCAAATGTTATTTGAATAATGGTTTAATTACCACACTTCTATTTTTATACAATCAAAATGCCATCAATAATCTATATCTGATCTGAACGTGTTTATGTCACTGAAATCCTATTAAACCGCTGGACCGATTTGAATGCATTTTTTGGATGCGTTTGGGTGGCGTCCTTAATGGTTTAGTTTCGGCCCGGCAGATGGCGCTGCTGTTAGTAACTGGGTTATTTATCTATACAGAAAATAAACAGCTGGTATATACATAAATCTTTAGTGCATGTGTTCGTAAACTCCTAAACGGCTTGACAGATTTTGATGACATTTTTTGTGTGTTCAAATGGAGTCAAGAATGATTTACGTTATTCGATTATTTTTTTGTAGACGTGTGTACAGTCCGACGTATGTCGGATCCGCTAGTTATAATAATATATAGACTAACTTACAAACTACAATTCTACCATAATACCATATGGTAGTTAGGTTAACCCAGGACCAACACGGTAACATCGATAAACCGTATATAATTTACTATATGATATAGTAGACTATTCCATTTAAATTTGCATTTCCACTCACCATTTCACAAGTCACTGCCACAGATGATCCCACAGCAAGATGTTTTCTTCCTAATTCCCAGCATGGCACTCCAATAAGACATATTTGCAATAGAATGAGGCAAATTACACCAACCACGGATAGAAGTTGACAGGACACTGTAAATATTCCATATTATCTAGTATTAGACTATTTCTAGAGTGTCCATGGTAATTATTGCACATTGGGGCTACATTTTGAACCTAATTTTAAAGCCTGCATAGAGGAAATTTCGTGAATTTGGTCTGAAGGAACTGGTGCTAGTACTCTATACTTCCAATAGTGTGTGATCCCAAGATTTCAACATCACTACGGCATTTAATAACGATACCGAATAAAAAATCGTTAGAACCGCAAGTACTATCGCAATAGGAAATATGTTATGGCTTGGTTAGACCCAACAATGGCCGATGGTAAAAAAATTACAATATAAGAAAAAATAGCACCGATATACTGTTGTAACGCCAACTTTATCGATAAATAAAATACCTATTTATCGTATAAATATATTTTTATCGGTGACGTCGAGCCTGATCTATCATGATCCGTATTCATTTCAAAAGACCTAATGGAAAACCTTCAAATAAAGCTAAGTCATCAGAAAATATAGTGTCACGGGATTTAAGTGTATTACCATTAGATGTGTTTCTTTTAAGTATATTGAAATAAGAACATTTCGGTATTAAACAAAAATAGTATCCATTTACGGTGGATCACCCAATACAATAACATAAATAAATCATTGGTGCTTTTTTGGGTCTGGGCCTCAGATTTCTGTTTCATAATTCGAAACGGCCTTGATCGGCCTTCTGTGCCACGCCGCGGACTTTTTGGGTCTAAGGCAAGCCGGTTTCCTCACGATGTTTTACTTCGCCGTTCGAGCGAAATGCATGCGCACTTAGAAAGAATGTTCATTGGTGCACAGCCGGGGATCGAACCTACGAGATGCGAGACTCGCGCTGTAGCCACTAGGCCAACACTGCTTTTGGAATCACTGAGATATATTTATTAATTAATAATCGCCTCCTGGCTGACCAGGCTGAACTAAAACTATTTGGAAACTACTAGGGTCAATATACTTGTCACAAAAATATTAATAAATCGCGGAATTTCAAACAAATCGACGCATGATTGAGCGTTGAACAACATAATGTATTTTTGTACTTCTTGCTTACCTACCTTATCTAATTTAACAAATTTTTTTCACAGTGGTTGCTTGGAAGATATCGCTCGAAAGCTAAGGCCGCCAGTTGCCCACCTTTTCATTTAATTGTTCAATTTTGTTTTTAGTTTTAGATTCAAAGAATGTTATTTTAATGTTGCTTAATTAATATAGTATTGTTTAAATATATCAATAATATAATGTTATTTTCTCATGTAATTGAAGGTTGTATTATCCGTATAATTAAATCATGATCATCTGTATATCTCTGTTTTTGAAAAAAACAATAAAGGCTTAAAATAGCTTTGTTACCATTTATCTTTGTAAGTTTGTTACTGTGATTACATTGGATTTTGTCACAGGATAAACGAGCTTCCGAACAAAAAGGTTTATACAGATTAGACCCAGTTAGTTTTGCAACGATCCTTGATCGGATCAACCATCTTTACATATAATATAATGGAACTGCGTATATTTATAATCAAAGTTTTTTTTTAGACAGATAATTAGTATTTTATTTATATACAACCGTGTTATTACTTTACAAAAACACTTTTTTTCAAATCTCAGTAAGTTCATTATAATTTCAATTGAGACGCTTTAACATCTCAGGCCTTGATTTAAAGAATTTTTTTTGTATTTTATTCCAAAACTATTTTGTTTCAGATAAGGTCACCCGGGGCGAAAGCAACTATGGGGCTAAAGTGACTAATTGATTTTATTCACAATTTAATGATTTTTGTAAAACGTGCCATCTGTTGAAGAGTAGAGCAATTATTACTTTTTTTTATAAAGTCTAGATGGAGCTTTTAAGTCGCTAACTGTTGTACTGACAGAGCATTTTTTGACTACCGCCATTTTGGAGCAAAGTTTTGCGGCGCCGTCTGTTTAGTTTTGTGCCATAAAAAATATTTCACGTTATTTCCAGCCAAATTGAAGGTTCATCCTAATATAAAGATAAAACGTAAGTGCTTTTGGTATATTTGGTTAAAGGCTAAGTCTTTTAATTAACATTTTATTGACATAGTTACATTAACCTCAAATTTTTGTGCAGATGGGTAATTGCAACTATTTTTGCAGTTGCAATAGCCCCATTGTATTTGTATGAAAAAATCAAATCACTAGTGAAGTTCCGTGTCGATATTTCAACAAGTGAAGTTCACTATCTATTTGCATAAAATATTTACCTTGGTATCTGTGACGTATTTTTTTAAACTTATATATTGTTTTTGTTAATAATTTAATTGAATTTATTTACATAGAAAACTTAATAATACGTGTTATTGAAAGGCAGATTAGGCGTGCACAAAATACATTGAAACTATAAAACTATGAAAGCCTTTACATAAAGTTACGATTTTGTTAATCTGCAGAGACAGAACGATACTTACGCATCTGCCCAGTGAATCTCTTAATTCAGAAATTGGCAGTAAGAATTACTGGACTGATCAATATTATCCTAGGTTTAATGATTACTCACATAATGTGGCATTATTAAATGCCAATATTATTAAGTCAGCTAGACATTAAGCAAAAATGTTGATGTTAATTCCCAAAAAATAACTTTAGCAAGACTGCGTTTTTGTACTTATCTACTTTCATGTTATCTATTATACTTACTGTCCTTAGATGTTTATTTGATTATAAGAAATGTTAAACCTTTTACTATGAAGATTTATTTTTTAATGAATCGCATTTTAATTCTTTACCTTAAATCAGACTAATAATTTTTCGGTCCTTTCATCGAATTTTTTTTTCACGAAGATTTATCGATAAATTTAGTAGTACGTATCTGTCCAACACTAGCAAGTATGGGAGGCAGTCGCATTCGCCCCATAAAAAGTTTAAATTAATTTTTCTGGAAACTGAGCCTTATTCCCAGCACCTAGATACCAATTTCAGATACCTGTAGTGTGAAACTATATATACCCTTATTCCAAACGTATAGATTACGATTACAACAAGGTCATTTAACTGATAGTTGCATTAGCCTCAAGGTGGGGTAAATGTAACTTTTAGTGCTCTTATTCAACAAGAATGTAAATTATTCAATAACTTAAGCCTATTTTTCACGTACTTTATGTCGGAACTATTCAATGAAAGGCATGGAATAAAGTAAGTTCATTTAAACAACCATCATAATTAGGTAGCTAATGGTAGAGGACGACAAAGTACCAATTTATAAATTTTTAGTTGCTTTCGCCCCGGGTGACCTTACTTGTTTTTTTATTTTTTTTTATTTTTTTATTTATGGCTCTGGCACGATTTGTGCATTAGCCAGCGTCAAGTATAGGTTTTTTTTTTTATAATTCGTGCTTGTCTTTTAGAAATTCGACCGTGTCCTCTATGTACGGTTTAAGCACTCGCCCGATACCGCACAACCCTCCCAAAGGCCGAGAACAAATTTGAATTAAATTAAAACTTGCCCTCCAACCGGGAATCGAACCCGGTACCCCTCACCTAGCTGCCACTTAATAAGACCGCTAGGCTATGAGGCCCCCCTTCAGATACCTTTACACTTAAATACATTTATACTTATATCTGTTTTACCAAAGCCCTTGTCCAAATCCCGCCATTCCACTCTGCACTGTGCCACTCTCTGCCATGTAAATGCCATTTATTTAAACTTATTTAGGAATTACGATAAATAGTTAAATTTCGCCTTTATTATTACATTTACAAAAAGTTTAACGTAAAACAGAAATAACTGACATATTAATAGGAATAATAGTATAAAGCCTGGAATATTTGCTAGCCTAATAAGCCTTCTACAGTATTATAGCTAACGAATGTTGACATGTCTTATGATTGTATTATTTGCCAACAGAGCTTTATCTATATCATGTAGTTGCCTTAATTTACTTTGTTTATTTTGATACTATTAATTATTTCTATTTAAATAGTTCGATATTCGTTCTGACTGTATAATGATTTTAAACTAAACAACAAATTTAATGTAGGTATATGTTTTAATTAATAATCGGCCAGGCCTGATTAGTGGGTAAATTGAGTTTAAATGTATTCCTCCATAGTTTATAACAGGGGGCAAACGGGTAGGAATTGCAGTTTTGTCCGCTGCCTATAGACACTCTCAATGCCAGAGAGCTCGCGAGTGTGTTGCGGCCATTTAATAATCGGTACGCTCTTTTCTTGAAGGACCCTAAGTCGAATCAAAAATCAATCCTAGCGTAATTAATTAATTAGCATTCTTTGTACCTACTAATATTTTTTGTCGTCCTCTCTACTCTACCCCACATTCCACCTTCCATCTTTTTTTCATAATTTACGTAATTGTCATAATCAAAAACGTCCCATACTAAGATGTCACGTAATATATTGCCAATTAATTCAGTAAATACTAACAAATTACTATATATTAATGTTAATACGTCTTTCCAAGTAAGATACATACTATACATGTTATTTTTAAATTCATATTTACGTTTTAATATGTACAAAGTTAGAGCATGATAATTATTGTCGTTTAATAGAGTGGAAATAGAATGGTTACCCAAAAGTTTGTAACGCTTGTTTTTGTTTTAAAAGGACAGATTTTTATATTGTGTCGCCATATTGAAAGTTAAAGACCTGTTATGTATCTTCCACATATTTTAAGATTCAGTTGAACGTGTGGAATTTATGTTGCATTTAGTATTGTCTTTTATTGACATAACTATACATAGAACAACACTTTTTTAACGGATTTGAAGTTATGTTTTATTATAAATAAACAATTATTTTACATAATTTTAAATTTAACCGACGTTTCACGTGCTTTAAAGCGTGCGTGGTCAAGGTGACTGAAAACAAAAGGTGATGAATGTCAAAAAGTATCACAGCTGTAGAAAAAGTTGTGTTATCTGTATTTATTTCCCCGGAGTTGGAAAAAAATACAGATAAAAATCGAAAACATAACTTCAAATCCGTTAAAAAAGTGTTTTTTTTATGTTGCATTGT